ACTTTGTGCTCTCAGCCTTAAAGGCACGAGGAGAATTGTGGGGCTTTAATCTTTTTTGGCTGCTGGTGGCACGGGCCAGATAATCTGGGCACACCCACACTGGTGCTTGTGATCCAATGAAATCCACAAGGAAGAGCGTGAAAAGCAAAATCCACTTTCCTCAAGGTTTCTATATTATCAAATATAAAGTCTCTTCTCTTCTCCCCGAAGATCTTGTGGGGAGTTTTATTCCTCCAGTTTCCTGTGACTGCAGAAGGGAGTTTCTCATTCCCAGGAGCAGTGTCTGCTCGTTATCTAATTGCTGATTAACATCTAATTCTGCATCCTGGAGCTGCAGGCAGGTCCCAGGTGAGCTGTTGTGAGCACTGGGCACAGAGCCAGGGCCTGTTCCTGCCTCTCCTGGACCAAGGAAAATTGTACCCCTGGCACCCCCAATTCTTTGTGTGGAATTTAAGGATTTGTCTGAGTAAGGAATCGGCTGGAAAATGAGGAAACCATCATTCCTGCAGACTGAAATGTCCTGAAATTCCTCCAGGACTGAAATCCCAGGACTCCTGGAGCTGGACATCCCTTGGAGTGAAAATTCCTGCATGGAAGTTCTTTCCACATCACTGGAGGAGCTTTGGGTCACTTTTGCTATTCTTGGAGTAACCTGATCTCGTGTAAAGTGTCCCTGCTCATGGCCGGAGTGGTTGGAACAGGATCTTTTAGGTCCCTTCCCACCCAAAACATTCCATGATTCTGTGATAAAGCAAAGCCCTGAGCACCCCAGTTCTGCTCTGGTGGAGGGAACCAGCTCCATGTGGGAATGACAGAAAGGTGACAGAGAGAGGCAGGAATGGGAATGACCAGGAATGAGTTCATTCAGCCCCAGTGGAGGCACGAAGGAGACGCCGAGACCAGAGTTTTTCCATGCTTTGATGAATCCTAATTATGGTGCTAGAGCTGCTGCTTCTGGAGGCAGTTTTCCAGTTCTTCACCCTACTTTGGATGCCAGGAATTCCTTCTGATCCTGTCTAAAATCCTCATTGCTGCTGTGTCAACACCAACACAAAAAGTGGGAAGAACAAAGCAGCCAGAGCCTTCCATTTGGAGGATCTGGAAGGTTCTTCTCCCGTCACACACCACTTCACACTTCCAGTGCAACATGTAAGATTTTTCCATGGAGTGCAGAATTCCAGCAAGGCTTTCTTTCACATTTTTTTCCCAAAGTTTGACACGTGTTAAACTTGTGATCCAGCGCACCTTTTTTCCTGCCAGATTGCTGCAAGGGAGATTCCCTCATCCCATATTTGTGCCACATTATGTGGAGAGCTTTTGTGCTTGTCCTTCCTAAATTACACCCTGTTTTCTCAACCTACCACTTAAATTTACTGGAATCACCCAGAATTCTCCTGCTTGCAGATTCTCTCAGCTCGTCACCCGTGAGCTCAGTGAATTTATTGACTAATACATCATCCAAACCAGCAATTAAAACTTTGCATCATCCCCGAGCCAAGAGGAGCCTTTTAATGGATCGTTCCAGCCTGACAGCAAATTGTTGCCTGTGATTTGCTCATGATTTCAGCCCGACTGGGTTTCCTTGGTTTTGCTTCTGAGCCCATCATGTGAAACTGTGCCAAAAGCTTTATTAAGGCTGAGCTGTGTGACAGGTACCACTTTTACCCTCAGATTTTGTTATCTTGTCACAGGGAGGGATATCACCCACCTGTCACAAAATCCTTGCTGATCATCCCTGCCTCCTTGATAGCCCCTGTGCCTTTGATTGATGATTTATTGCAGAGCTTTTTCCCCACTCTGGGTTGGCTGCTCTGTGTGTCCCTGTGCCCTTTATAATAATGGATTATTTCCACAATTCTTCATGGAAAGGCTTTGGAGTAGCACTCAGTGCTCTGGTCTGGTTGACAAGGTGGGGATTGGTCACAGGCTGGACTCAATGATCTTGGAGGTCTTTTCCAACCTAAATGAGTCTGTGATTTGTTGTTACCCTGTCTCCTAAAACACCCAAATTTCCCTGCTGCAAAGAAACAGGAGCAGGAGAAACAGGCTGGGTTTGGTAGCTGTGATGGATTTCTTTTCCCAGTTTTCCTGGACACCACTTTGGCTGACAACCCTCACTGATTTGCATATTTATATAGAAAACACTAATTTTATTCACTTTTGATGTGTTAATTAGTTCGTCTCATTAATATCTGTGGCAGCAAAGTGGCTCTTGCTGTTGTGTTTGATGTGGTTGTGTCTCCACACCTGTTTTCCCTCTTACTCCACACGTGGAAGCACAAACACAGCTCCTGACTCTGCAAGTGCAGCTCAAAATTGTGGGATTGGAAAAACAAATCCTACACTGAATCACCAAGAATTTCCAAGAATCACCTGGAATTCTTCTCCCAGACAGCTCAGCCTGGAGAGCACCAGCACCCAAACCTCACACTGGAAAAGGGAAATGGGACTGATTGAATCCATAGGGGAAAAAAAGGAGATTTAGGCTTTGCCTAAAGCTGAGCCACCTTGGTCTTCTACCTGCACCTTCCCCCAGCCCAGGGAAGGGAGGAACCAGTGTGAAAAAGGAGCTGTGACCTCATAATCAGCTCATTCCTCACCTCCAATCGAGAAGGAGAGTTTTAAATTGTCCCTCTTCCTTCTTTATTTGAAAGAGTTCCAGCGAATTTCCACTCAGAGGATCACCGCTGACAAAGTCCATCCAGAATTCCCACCTCCAGATTTACTTTTCCATGACCTTTAGCTCCCACAACCGGGAGCTTTCAGTCCAGGAGCTAGGTGGGTGGATGAGTAAATCCTGTTCAACAATCCCTTGACTTCCAAAGAATCAGTCGGGATAATCCCGGCTACTTCAGCTGCTTTGGCATCTGGAAATTTCAGGAAGAGGAAATGTTCCTCTAAATTTGTAGACAATTCTAGGGAGCCACTCTCACTTGACCTGGCAGCACTTAAACTGCTGTGGTGAAAAGTGGGGGAAGAGCTGGGAGTAAGGGGCTGCAAAAGATCTGAATAAAAGTTTGTTCTCCCTCCTGAACTGTGTCCACCCTGCTTCCCCACACCCTCACTGGACTTATCTCATCCCTCCACTTGTTCCTTCCCCTCCAGATGGTCTCTCCACCAAGACTTTGCTTTCCCGTTTCCAGCAAAACTGTTTGGGATACAAATTGCTCCTTCTACCTCCTCGTTCTCCTGCCAATATGACAGGTGGTAAAACAATAACAGCTTTGGCCTGGAGCCCAACTTTCTTGGAGTTTTTTGAAAGTACCTGAGGTCCTGCAGGGAAAAACTGTGCAGGGTATGGAGGACTTGCTCCTGGAGGAATTATTCCTGGAATTGGGATGCAGCACAACCACCACAGCCCTACCAGTGCCTGCCCTGAGCAGCTGGACATCTCTTCCTTATTTTTGGTTTAAAAACTTATTCTTCCTCTTCCCCATCTTCGTTTTCTTTCCCTTTTGAGGTTGTGTTTGGTGAGAGAAAATTAACGGCAGGTTCTGCTGTTGATTTGGGCTTTTGACATCTGTCATCTCCAGGCACAGCTCAGTGGGGTGTCAGTGTCCTCTTGTCCCTGCCCACCACTGTGGTGTCACCTCCTTAATTTCCTTCATTTCCCCTCCATCCACTAAACAAAATATTTAAAACCAGTCACCAGATCCAGAGCTCACAGCACAAAACATGAAGTTGATGTGGAATCTTTCGTCCTCCTGCAAAACTGAAATCCAGGCACGCTGAAATGCCTCAAAAATCCACATCCCTCCACGTGTGCAGCCAAAACCCAGCAGAGTTCCAGGGCAATGCTTCAGAGAAAGCAAAGATCTCATTTAACCATCAAACACAACAAAAAAAACCCGACACCCTTCAATTGTTTGGACCAGCTCTGGTTTCTCCCAGGACACAGCTGAGCTAGGGATGCTGCCAGCTTTTCCTTTTCTCTCTCTATTTTTTTTTTTTTTTAGTGTGTGTGTGTTTTCCAGGAATGGGAGCATGCAGCTGGGGCTGTGACCCAAGAAGCTCTGAGCTGTTTGTGTGAGTCCCTGGCTGGCTGCCCTTCTTCTTCTCTGTGACACCCCCAAGCCTCCTACAGAGCTTTTCTGTGTCCCCTCAGCTGCAGCTCCTGCGGGGAGAGGAGGGAGCAGAGAGTGTGGAGGGCAAAACCAAACAAAGCTCAACACAATTGATGGTTTCTCTGCCAGGAACGTGGGTCTGTAGAAAGCCTCTCACAACCTCTGAACGACAGGGATTGGTGACAGCTGTGTGAGGTTGTTTTGGCCCTGGGGAAAAAGCAGATATGGGGATGTGTTTTCCAGCTGGATGAGGTCCTTGAGGAGGCAGTGTGAGAGCAACTCCCAGCTCAGCAGGGTCCCCCAATTCCTTCCCTTCTCCCTCCCACCTTCCCACTGCCTTTCCTCTCTCAGCCACATATTTCCCTCTGTCTTTCCCCCTTTTCTCTGATGAGAGAAGTTAATTTCAAAATGGGAATGGGAGGAAAGACCCTGAGGAGCCAGAAATTTCTACCCACTGAGGCTGGAGAAACGTCCACAACACTGCCACAAATCAGCTTTACTTCCACGTGCTTGTTTATAAACAGACGTTTGATAACCCAAACTCACTGTGAATAAATTCACTGATCATCCCCTGTGCTGACAAAACTGTGGAGCCATTCCCTGTGTTTCAGGCAGAGTAGGATGTTATTCCTCACAGAGCTTTGAAAGTAAGAGACAAAACTATGCCTTCAAGGATCTCCTCGGAGCAATAATGATTTGAAGCTTGAACATGTCAAAAAGGCCATTTTCTGTATGTTTTCTTAGGTGAGTTGGATGTCTGGGGACACTTTGGATTCAAGCAGGCTCAGGAAATCAATAGGAGTTCAGCACCTGACTTATCCAGGCTCTCTCAAAAATCCCAGGGGGAAGCTCAACCACAAAACACGAATCTTTAAGAGCAGAAAATTATCCCAGAACAACACTTTTATTTCAGCCATCACGGGGAGCTCTTCCAAACCCATCACAATCCGTATGCAAAGATGTAAGTGACGCTGGCCAGGACACCCAGGGACATCATTCCGTGGCTGCTTTGCCTGCTGCTGACTCCATTCACGTTGCACAGGGGTTTCTCACAGCAGGAGACATTCTGGGAGCTTTGGATTTGCTGCTGACCTGTTACTGGACATGTTTGAGAGCACATCTTGGAGATGACGTATTTAGGCTTGTTGGGCTCTAGTAAAGGAAAAAAAAGTGGGGGAGAAAAGAGAAAAAGGAGGATGAAAAATAATAGTTTAAATATTTTCGTGGCTAAATCTGTTTTGGTGAGTAAAGGAAGGCCAGGCATTAATCCTCAAGGCAAATTTCATGGAATTAATCATAGAATTATGGAATTGCTTGGGTTGCAAGCAGAAAAATCATCCATGGGCTGATGTGAGAAATGGATTTGTAATGAATGGTATACTTGTATACTTCACTATGTACAACAAATGACAAATAAGACCATTGTAAAAAAGTTTTACAATCCAAAAAAGAGGGGGAGATGTGAGAAATGGATTTGTAATGAATTCTCAAAACCTGACTGAAAGCTCACACAGTCTTGTACATCTGTGTGCAAATGCTGAGATAAAGTGTGCTGACTTAGGAAGGCCGTGGAACAGAGATGACATTGTTGAGAGAGAGACTGAACTGGAAACAAGTTTCAACAAGTTTCAACCTACGGCCTTGCAAGAAAACCCAGGGATTTTAGAGAATTAGAACTGTGAAAGATGCATTGTAGCAGGACCACATAGGGTAAAAGTATAGGTGATTTGTGTTAGAAGTATTAGCAGTATTGCTAATAGGCTGAAAAACATTTATAAAATATTGTGACCAGAAAAAAAGGTGGCTTCTGATAGAATGGCGCTGAGTTTTACATCTCTTATGTCTCACCCTTCTACGAGACTGATAATAGAATAAAATCTTCTAAAACACCTCTCAGTTGCTCTGTTTCTATAAAAGCCAGGAAAAATCCAAGAGGCAGGAACACCTCCCACCAGACCAAGTTGCTCAGAAGCCCATCCAACTTGGCCTTGGACACTTCCAGGATGGAGCAGCCACAGCGCCATAGAATCCAAGAACTGTTAAGGTTGGAAAAGACCTTTAAGATCAGGACTTCTCTGGGCTCCATATTTTCAGGTTTTGTCAGTCCTAACATGGAATGGCTCTCAGCTCCAGCTGCCTGAAGTGATGCTCAGGCTGGGTCGTTCCCACCAGGATGGCTTTTCCTACAATATAAACACAGGGGGAATGTCCTGCATAACCTGAGATTTGGGATAAGAGCATGTGGAGGTCTTTGAGGGCACAGAGCCCCCAGGACAGACCTGAAGGATTGTGCTTGGCACAGGGAGTCAGCCACAGTGAGGTTTGGCCAAAACACTGCTCAAAACAGTTCTGGGTGGGAAACACACACAGCTCCAGGTGTGAATCCACTCCCTGGTGCTGCTCTGTGTGTGTCCTCATTTTTTCCCCAGTTTCCAGCAGGAATACCAAGGGTATCTGGACACTGCAGCAGCCACAAGGTCAGTGTCTCCTAAAAGTTGGTCATCAAGGCCTATTGTTCCCATACTGGGATGAAATCCCATTCCTGGGACTGCTCTCCTACAAAACAAACAAAGTGTTGTTCCCAAACCTACTTGTCCCGACGTCCTTCCGCACGGTCACGCAGTGTTTTTCCTCCTTGGCACACATGGAAATGGTCAAACAGTCCTTGTTGGACTCCTGTTCTTGGCAGGTGTAGCACATGAATGGATAAACTGGGGCGGGAAAAAAAAAACGGGAAAAAGCACATTACAAGGTTTAAAAACCACAAAAACCCCAGTGCAGAGATCTCCATTTCCCTCGTTACAGCCTGAGGAATGCTTCTGTGGGAATGACCAGTGACTTTCTTTATCTCCTGACCCGTGGCAGCAGCACTAAATCCTTCTCTGTCTCCTCTGGCTCAGGCTGCGAAGTGTTATCGATCTGTTTGCAATCCCTGGGAGCAGGAGATGTGAGCAGAATTCAAGGATTTGGGGGCTTTTATGGAGGAGATTATTGCTGAGCCATAGCAGCTCAGTCCTGAGGGCTCGGCCACAGGAATTGCCAATTACTGCTCAGGGTTTCTCCTGGCCAGGGCTTGGCAGGGAGAATTTAAAGATGCTCATAGCATTTTGAGGAGGTGGACTATGTCCAGTGTCCTACTTCTCTTTCATCTGGCTCAAAGACTGCTGTCACATCTCTTTTTTCGTGCTTGGACGTCACTGAACTGGCCTAACCTCAGTTCTAGGAGGTCTGGTGAGAGCCCTCAGATGCTCTGTCAAACTTCTGTTTCTAGCGTAAAATCGGGAATGAATGGAAAATCTTAACCAAAAGCTTGGTTTAAGTGCTAAAGGCAGATTTGGTGAGGTAATTCCTACATCTACAACAGTGGCAGATGATTGGCAGGAAGGTCACGCAGAGTTTCCTGCCAAGAATGTCTGTGTCTGCCCTCAAAAACAGAATGTGGTAGGCCAGACCTCTGGAAAGTAGTTAAAAAAAAAAGGAAGTGATGCCTTGTGAAGGCTGACCTAGAACAGAGACTGGATAGAGTTAAAGAATAAAGCAGGGATTTATTAGAAAGCCTCAATGGATACACCTTGGGCAGCACAAGAGCCCAGCCAGGGCTACACCCAAGATGAACCCAAAATGGTCACAAAATGGACAACCAGTCACAGGGTCTCACACTTTTATAAGTTCTGGTCCATTTGCATGTTGGGGTTAATTGTCCAATTACAGCTTTAGCTTATGAAGTCCCATCCTTCTTGTTTTTCTCTCTTCATTCTGCTGTTGTTTATGCTCTTGGGCCTGAGATTTGGATCAATGGCCCTTGGTCCCCAGCTAGAGAATGAATTGTTTTGTTTACCTGCTCTGTGAAGAGAGTTTACTATCCCCTAATATGAAGCTCAGAACTTCACACAAAAGTAGCACAGAATCTGAAAAACATAAAAGCTAAAACCTGAGGCATCATAAGAAGAACAAAACCACCCCAAAATATGTGCAGAGCACTCCCCAGCCGGGCAGATGGAAAGGTTTTATAGTGGTGGTTGAGTTCAGAGCTCATGAAATCACCCAGAGCAAAGTGTGGGGTTTTGTGACTGAGTTCCTTTAAAAACAAAGCTAATGTTTGGAGGGAAACAAAGCCAAACGCTGGCTGAGTTCCTGCTAAGTCTGGGGCCAGTCTGTCACTTTGGAAAGGGCAAAAGCAGCTGAAGGACACGTCCCTGTGAGCGCACTTTTGTCCGATAAGAAGTTGGCATTGAGAAAATGGAAGGATAGCGGAGGTCACACCATGAAACAAGAAGTTTCTGATAGAAAGGAAGGAAAAAGTCTCCAGCTGTTGATCCTGTGCAGCTTTTTTTTGCCTTTTTCACCTCTGCTAGAAGTTGAATTTTAATGTGCAGCGTAGAGGAGATTCAAGGAGGTTTTAAGGAATTTTTGCAACAACTTTGAATGATGTTGTTCTCGAGCAAGCCCAGGAAACACGGGCTGCTGAAAATTCCAGTGAACGGGTGCAAAGCCAAGCATGAAAATCCCATGATTACCTCAGAGGGTAATTCCCAAGGCTTATTGGTCAAATCAACTGGAGCAATGGAAGGAACTCTTCCCTGGGAGGATGGGGAGGCCCTGGCAGAGGTTTCCCAGAGAAGCTGTGGCTGCCCCTGGATGCCTGGAAGTGTCCAAGGCCAGGTTGGACAGGAATTGGAGCAACCTGGGATAGTGGAAGGTGTCCCTGCCCATGGCAGGGGTTGGGATGAGATGATCTTAAAGCTCCCTTTCAACCCAAACCATCCTGTGATTTTAAGTGATTTTGACAGATGGATGCAGTAAAAGAGTGAAAAAGAAGATTGGATGCAATCAAATTAAGGTTAATAAATTGCAATGGATAAAACTGAGACACTTAAATGTAGGGTGGCAAATAATTGGTTCAGCTACAATTCAAAACCACAGTGACAACAGCAGGAGTCAACAGTGTCACATTCCAGCCACGGAAAATGGCATAACCCGCGGGGACACGGGCAGAAATGTCATGTGCAAGATAACAAAGTGGCCTTTCCACCCTGGCAAGGCCTCAGCTGGAGCCCTGGTGCCCAGATCTCTCCGCAGCACTTCCAAAACTTCAGAGCATTTGGAGAGGAACCAGAGGAAAGGGAGGAGAGAAGGTCAGAGATCTTGGAAATGTGACCTTGTCAAAAAGGTTGGAAGGGTTTTGTTTGTTTGTTGAAAATGAGAATATGCTGAGGAAAGTCGCAGGAATCTTCTTCATGCAAGAAAAAAGACACAGCAAAGAAGAAAATAATAAAATATTTTATGTGTCCTGTGGTGGAAATATGGGAGAACAGAACAAAAACAGATGCTAAGAGATGTTAAAACTAAATTCCTAAAGGGATGAGAGTCTCTGAGCAATTCCAGGCTGTGGAATCTTCCTTGCTGGAAACTCTCAGGGACACCTTAAGCAAATATCTGCCTGATCTTGTCCAACATTGCAGCAAGGACTTGACGATCTTAGAGGTCTTTTCCACCCTTAATGTGATTCTGTGAAAAGGATCAAGACCTTTCATGATTTTTGCTGGACACAAACCTCACAAAACAGTGAGTTTATGGATTGAAAAGGTGAAAGACCCTCTTTGGTTGGCTGAGAGATCAAGAGTCTTGACGAAAATTTGGTCATTATGCTCTTGGATGAGACCCAGGATACCTGAGAAAGCTCAAATGGAGTTTCCACATTTTCATTTGTCCCAGTTTTAGGCCAGAAAGCTGAAATGTCTTATTCTGGATCTAGGCTGGGCCCAGAAATGTGCTGTGCAAAAGCCTGTCCTTAAATCTGTTGGAAATCTGCTGCCAATATCAAATGTCACCAGTGAGGAATCCCACCATGAACCTGTGATCCTGGATCTCTGTGAGCTTTCCAGTTCATCCTGGGTCATGCTGAGAATGTTGCCTTTGAAAATTCTCCTCTTCTACTCATGTTATGTGCTTCAATCAAGAATTGTGGGCACTAAATAATTTTAATTTTTAATAATTAATAGTCATTTTCCCACACCCAAAACTGGCCGAAGGTCCTGCTCTTCCAGGCATGCTGGAAAACCATTCCAAAGGATGTAGGAGTAGGGGGTTGATACATCAATGATAATTGATTAATTAGATGCCTCTTTCCCAACCAGATTCGTATCATGGTTTCTGGGAAACCATCTTGTGTGGGGGAAAATTTGTCACTCTGGTCATCATACCCACATGCCAGGAGCGATGGAGCAACACTTGTGTCTCACTCCCAGAAGGAGGACAACACTTGGGAGCAGGATGCCTTCAACATGAAAAGTTCTTTCACCTCTGCCGCTGATTTAATCTACAAAAACTCCCAGTGTTGCATTTTCTAGGAAGACACATGGCAAACCACTATAAGGAAGGAAAAAGCAGGACAGAAAAGTCTCTAAAATACTCAAAAACTGAAATTATTAAGGGGAATAAAAATTTTGTTATGCTTTCTATCACTTCCAGCTTGCCTCCTTTTGGAAGATCCCAAGGACCACGGTGTGGATTTAACCTGGCATCCAGCATCACCAGAGTTCCAGCATGGGAAGAAGAATCAATTCATCAGATTCTCATTTCAGCATCAAATCACTGATTGAGGTGCAAAAGGACATTGGTGACACCATCACAACACTGCAAAGTTGGTGACAGCCCTCTAGGGTATTGCCACGTGGAAAAAGTTGTCACCATCTTCCCCCTAATCCTTGTCTTAAGTAGGAGCAGCACGAGAGGCTCACCTTGTTCCACACAGAGCACAGCAGCCAGCAAGGTGACCAGAGGAGTCCTCATCTCCAGCAGATCCTCCCAGCAGCACTGGGAAGCTGTTTGGAGGGCAGGTTTTATACCCCAGCCCAACAGCAGCAGCAGTTTTACAGGTTCCAGGTGGACATGAAATCAACCCGAGGGTGTGGAGTGTTCATGTGGGAGTTTTCCACGCCAGAGCCCTTGGAACAGGCTGGCACCTTGGGGAAAAGCCCTTTCAGCCACACATTTCTTGCTCTTCTGGTCGTGTGAGTGATGGGAAGATGGGATCTGCTCTCTCCTCCTCTGAATTTCTTCCTTTCCTCCCTTCCAGAGTTGATACTCTGATGAAAGCAGAGCCTGGAGGCACAGGGAGATTGTCCAAGGAATGAATTTTTTTAGTCCCTTTGCATAGACAGCACGTGACGTTCCAGGATTTGTACCATTCATTGATTTTAATTATTCAACAGCACCGGACTCAGCCTCTGAGCTGGCCTAAGCTGGTTTACCTCAAAATCAGTGTGTTTTACACCAAATTAAATTAGCTAATGGTTGGTTAAACAGAAGATTTTCCTCAAATTTTCATGTCAGTCTTCATTTCTTTATCAATTTTCCCTCTGGTTAATCCCTCTGCCTGCTCTTTTTCCTGCTTGTCATCCTCAAATACCTTGTACAATTTTGACTTAATTAAGTTTTGCTGCTATCCAGGGATTCTTTAGAGGAGCTGCTCTTCTCCACGCCCAACAGTTTCTCGAAATTAGGCCTCCATTTCCAAGCCCACAAATTGGCACCCTGGAATTGCAGCTCTGTTCGGGAAAGAGCCATCCCTCAAAGTGTAATTTTTTCAATCTCTCCTCTTAAATCAATCCTTTTGCCTTTATTCCTCTGTGTTGTTCCTCTCCTCTGAATTCCTTAACATCTGTTCCTGACAGTCTAGGATGGAGACCCTCATTCAAGATGCATCTTGTGAGAGCTCGAGCTGCCAAGTCCACAGAGCTTCTTCTAAAACAAGATTAGTCCTGGACAGCAGAAAGAAAATATTGTCAAACCCCGCTTTTTCTGGCAATTATGGAATAACTTAACTGGCAATTCCCTGCATGTAGCCATCAGCAGGGTATTTTTGTCTGTTTCTAACATGAATCATTCCAACACTGGATGATTTCCTGATCCGTGTGATTTTCTGACACTTTTTTTTCAGGCCCTCCTGATCTGCTCCTGGAATGACGTCATCAGGTGGTGAATTCCAGAGTTGTTCAAGTCCTGTGTCCAAACAGACATTCCCTGGGTTTTGGAGGTCGGTGAGGTCAGTGGGGATGTGGTGATGACCAAATTGAGCCTTGTGCTTCACCCAGGACAACTTGGTCCTTTGCCCCAGTGTTTTATAAACAGGTTCTTCTCCCTCATTAGTGGGTGTGGCTCCTTGCTGGCATTTTGCAGTGAGGTTGAAAGAACCAATTTTTTTCCCCTTATTTTTTTGTCTTATTTATCCCACAGACTCGTTGTGTTTATTCCTTTCCCCTCTCATATCCCAGCTCCTTTTGATTTCCAGAGAATCATAGACTGGGTTGGTAGGAAGGGACCTTAAAAACCACCTTGGACCTTAAAAATCACCTCATGTCATGGGCAGGGACACCTTCCACTATCCTAGCCTGCTCCAAGCCCTATCCAACCTGGCTTTGTTGGCTTTTCCAACATCCTTTTTATTCCCACATGAATCTTCTGGGAACAGGATCAGCACAAGTTGAGTTTGACTTTGACCTAGACTTTGACTTAGAATTAGACTTTGACTTAGACTTTTTGACTTTGACTTTGACTACTTTGACTACTTTGACTTTGACTTTGACTTTGACTTTGACTTTGACTTTGACTTTGACTTTGACTTTGAAGGAGCAGTGAGGTGAAACATCCCCAGCACATCCAACAAATATGTACTGAGGAGAGGAATTTGGGTGGGAAATGGGATTTTCTGAGTTTTCTGGGAGCTGTCTCCAGGACATCAGTGTCTTACTTTGTACTGTGGTTCTAAGGTACCTTGGAATGCTGGAGCATTGTCTCTTCCCGGTGCATGGAGAGCATGGAAAAGAGATTTATTTCCCAACAGGGCAGATTACAAAACTCAGAAGCACTCAGAGGCATCACTCAAGGATCCAGCTTGGAGAGGGTGTCTCCTGCAGCCCAGGATCACAGCCTAGAGGAAGGCCTGGAGCAGGGACACCAAATGAGGAGCAAGATTGAGAATTGCAAAGAATGGGGAAGAAAAATCCCCAAGGAAGCTGAGTCACCTCTCTGGAGTAATTTTATTATCCATGCAGGAAAATTAAAGTGGATCAAATTGGAGCCATGATTTGGCAGTGGACTCAAATTGGAGCCATGGGTTGGCTCTGTGACAAGAAAGCAGCAGTCAGCTTTGGAAAAAGAGTTCCTTTTGTTCCTTTCCATGGCTTCCAGAAGTTTTTTTGACCCAGTGAGGGTGTTGCTTCGACATCTTGTATCCATTCCCTCTCTTGCTTTGGCATTGAGGCACTGAGTTGGATTAGGGCAAATAAACAGGGAAAAGGGGGAGGAATTTCATGTTGTGAGGGAAAAGACGGGAATTATTCAAGGAGATCAGCAGGCAGCACAGATTCTTCAAAACCAAGGGTGGGAAAGCCCCAAGAGAGGGAAAAGAAGGGCCAAAGTTGAAGCACCTTCTGCAGATGCCTCATTTAGGCAGGGAAAGGCCTCCTTGTCTGATCCAGGTCCTGGCGCAGTGACTCAGAGCTCTGAAAAATGAGTTTTATATAATCCACAGGGAGAGACTGGCAGTTACCTCCCAGGATCAATCCCAGCTACTGGAATGAGACTCCCATCTCCTTCCCAAAAGCCCTCCAGGCATCACAGATGTCTCTGCTCATGGGGCAGCTCAGTGCTCCCATGTGAGGAGTGTGCAGCCATGGGAGGCACCAGAAACCCGGGGTGATGGAAAGATTTGGAATTAGGGAGCAGCACCTGCGTGGGAGGTGTCAATCAGGATTTCTCAGGAAGGCTGGCAGAGTCTCCTCTTACACAACAATGCAAGGGGAGGGTTCACCACAGGAGCTCTGATGTTTTTAGGACCTCCTGTGCCTCAGGGAAGTTGCTGCTCCCGCCTCCAGATAAGGGCTTTGGGACATGGGTCAGCTTTGGAGCACATGGATGCGTTTTGTTTGGCACTAGGGAAAAACCTGTGGGGTCAGGGGGAAATTAGGCAAGGAGGAGCCAGCCAGGATGGAGCTGCTCCCTTAGGGATGGCACTTCTACATTCCCAGAGCTGTTTATAACTTCTCCATGCAGCAGCCGTAAAACCCTCCAGGGGTGTCCCACATGCTTCCATCCCCTTTGGCATGCCAGGATCCTTCCCATCCCAAAACAGAGGCACCTGCCAAGTTCAGGCAGCTCAAGACATGACCTTAATTTTAAACCTGGCTGCCAAGGGCAGGTCTGGACTCCCAAGCTTAGCAGAACAAGACCTGAGGCCGTACCAGCCCCATCTTGGCCTTTCCCTGTGCCAGCCATTGTCCCTAAGGAATCCTGAACTTGTGGATAGCACAGGGTGAGAATTATTCCAAATTGTTCAGTTGTCACTGTGTTAGGAGCAGGGTGTGGGGCAGAATATGGCCAGCCAAGGTCACAGAATTGGCTTGTTTGGGGTTTTTGGATCTGTGTCACTTGAATATCCCTGAATTTGACAGGAAGGGACGCAGGGTGAGGAGAATAAATCGGGCAGATGGATGGAGCCAGCTCAGCTGGGATAGGCAATAAAATCCGTGGGGAGAATGGGGAGACTCATGGCCAAAATCAAAGTATCCTTGGCCAATCTTGCATTTACACCGAGGAGGAAGGAATGTGTTGAGGCAAGGAAATAGAGTTTGGATGGAAAAACACAGAGTAAGATTGAAGGAAGAAGCCAACGAGGAAATTTGGGAGAGAAAACAGCCAGGGAATGCAGAGCTGGGGTTGGACGTGGATGGGAGGAAGGTGAACAGGAAGGGGTAAGAGCAGGGTGGGATGAGCTGGACCCACGAGCCCACGTTTCCTCTGCAAAGCTGTTTAAAGAACAAAAGTGTGGCTGTTTCTGAGTGCTGTTGTTCCTCTAATCCCAGAAAATGCCTGTCAAAATGAGCAGTACATGGAGCTGTGCAAGGTTTTCTGTCTTCTAGGGAGAGAAAACCAACTGGGTGAGCTGCACTTAACTGGTTTCCCTGGGAGATCTCCCTTGGGATCATCCTTGTGGAGAGCTCCTTCCTCCTAGGAGAAGACAGTTCAGCCTCCCTGGAAGGGTCGGAGGGAGCAAACATCTCATTCCTAAGATTATCCACAAGGAAGGTCAGAGCAGGGTAATGATTCCCTTCAATTTTAACTTGATGAGCAAACATAAAAGGTTTATTTGCAGTGTTAATATTTTTTCACAGATGAGTCTGGAAAATTCCATATTTCTTTCCAGAAACCATCTGTCTTTTCCTATGACTTTCCTTTAAGCATGGTGCAAGATATATTTCTCCCCTTCCTAAATAAACCTAATGCTTCTAAAGGAATTTCCACTGGGATATCGTAAACCAGTTTAAAGAAAATGCTCCAGATACCTGCCCTGCCTTTTCCCCTCTGTTTCCTGGAGAGCTCAAAAGCTGTTTCCTTCCAGGCAGCTGACCCAGGAGAGGAATTGAAAGGAAGTTAAATAGAATTCATTTTGTTCCAAAATGGAGTCACAAAAATGCCATTTCTGGCAGTGCAGAAAAAATAAAATCTGGGGAGAGGCTTCCTGAAGTGAATGCAGAGTAATTTTAATATATTTCAGCATTATTCCCATTCAACTTGCAGGCAAATGCCTCCGCTTTTATCCCATAACATGGATACATCCAGCAGCTACGCCCAGTGTACCACACCACGCAGCCACACAATAGAATAAAATAACACTTTATTGTGCCCAGTTTCTGTTTAACAACTTGAATATTAAAGGCTTTCTCACAGCAAAATGATACATGGTAGAAAATGGGAAAAAAAAAATTGGCAAAAGGGAATGGCAGGGATAAAATGAAAGGCAAAAAATGCACGGAGTTATAAATGCCAGGAGTAGGAGAGATGGTGGCCACGTGGGGCCATTCTGCACGTGCAGGGCTCCATTTTACCCCTTTCTCTCCCAAACATCATTTTGTGTTGTCATCAGAGCGTGGAAAGAGCAAAAATTACCTCCTGAAGGGAGGTGACCTTCCAGGTAGGAGGCACAGGGCAGCATTCCCACCTGATGGAGCACAGCTTGAACCGTGCCATGCAAAGCCAAGCAGCTCATTTTCCCCCCAGAAAACCCCTCAAAAACCCATCCTGAGGATGCAGGCGAGACTGGCCAGGACCCCCAGGGTGAGGATGGTGGAACTGGTTTTCACGCTGCTGGCCCCACTGATGTTGCACAAGGAGGTCTCACAGCAGCTGGTGGCGACTCCAGCTATGCCAAAGTTCAGGTCGATTGTTGGGCAAAATGCAGAACATTTCTTGGTGATTCGCTGGCTCCGGTCACTGCCTGGAGTGGAAGGGAGAGAAAACAACAGGAAAAGTTCAGGTTTTCATCTCAATTTTTTTTTTTTTTTTTTTTTGGCAGGTTTCAGTGGTTTTGGTCATAGCCTGGCCGTGCAATCCCGTGGGGAATTTTTTATTCTGCCCTCGATGCCATTGGGTTTTCCCTCAGGTTTCATCACATTCCGTCATTATTTGTGTATGTGTGACCTATGGACACTCTCTCCAGGCCTTACAAATACTTGGCTGGTTTCAGGGCTGGCTGAGGGCAGGAATTTGGGACTTATTTGTACAATGTGATTGCAAGACTTTGGCACGGTGCCTTGGGATTGCTCCTTCCACAGCTCCCGGCACTTTCCATTTCTGCCACCTCATGGCCATAAACTTGAACTTGGAGTTGAGACAAGGAGTTTGTGCAGGGATAATAAAAAATAATTATTTTTATTCCAGCATCTCCCGGTGTTTAATCAGCAGTATTTAATTTTGAGTTGAATCAGAAGTATTTTTACGATATGTTGCAACAGACCCAGGCCAAGTTCCCACCTTCCCAAGATTTGTTCTCTGCACGCTAAAATCGTCATTTGTTCCTCCATTGTTCTGCCTGGTGGGAGGAGGATGAGCTGTCAGCCCCAGCTGAGCCCCACCTTGTCCTCAGGGCCTTGGGAAAGCTCCACACTCACCGGTTCCTGCGGTGGAATAGGTTGTCAGACAATACTTCTCATTGTCCGAGCATTTGGTGGTGCTGAGACAATGGATGTTGGAAGTTGCATCTTTGCACGAGAAGCAGGTCAGGGAGAAAGCTGCAAAAGAAGCACAGAAACATCCATCAGGCACCTCTGGGAATATCCTCAGGAGCACCAAACTGGGGGTGGATGGATGGAGGATCTGTCAAGCCCAGTGGCCACAGCAAATAATTCCTGCATAAATTAAACTTGGCCCCAGGGACTCTCCAGGAGACAGATTAAGCTCAAATTGCTGCCACATCTGTGGTTTGCTCATTTAGGAACCTTCAGGGATCTTCCCTCTGGATGTCTCGTTGACTTTTCCTTGAATCCATTAAAACATCTGGCATCTCCACTGTGTTTTTGGGAAGAGCAGCCCACTCTCCCACCACTTGTAGTGTGAAGCTCTTGGCTTTTCTTTCCAACCTGGCCCCTCCAGTCCTCAGCTTCTGGCCTCTGGTTCTTGTATGGAGGCACTGGACCAGGGAATCTGTGGCTGGCCCATCCCTGGAAGTGTCTAAGGTTAGGCTGGATGAGGCTTGGAGCAACCTGGGATAGGGGAAGATGTCTCTGCCCATGGCAGGGAGGTGGAACTGGATGATCTTTGAGGTCCCTTCCAACCCAAACCATTCCAGGATTCTATGATTTATTCTATGTGGGCATCAGAATGGTTCTTTCACTCAGGTCAGCCAGCAAAACCCCAGAAAAATTTGAGTCAGGATTTCTGTCACTGTCTAAACTCTGTCTTAAATGGGGTGTGGATATGTGCGATGTTAAAAAACAAACAAACAAACAAACAAAAACAAACAAAACCACTCAAATTAAAAAAAACATATTAAAAAACAAACAAACAAACAAACAAAAACAAAACCCCTCAAAATAAAAAAAAAAAAAAAAAAGGACAAAAAACACATTCAAAGGCAGCAACTGTCCGGGACTTGCTCTGAATACCAAAAACTAAAATGAGATGGTTTTTAAGATCCCTTCCAACCGAAACCTTTCTATGATTTGGGTTGATTTTCGAAAATCGAAAGTTGCATCTTTCGAAAGACGAAAATCTTGGATTTGTAGAAGTCTGAGCTCAGCAAATCCCTGCCTTGGCTGGAGCAGATTCCTTTTCCCAGCCATCCATGGGGAATAACTCCCTCCCTCCACAAAACGTGCACATCTGGAACACTCTGCATCTGCAAAGTGCTTTGCTGAAATCAGTGAATGAGAACAGCTGGCACTCCACGAGGCTGAAGCATCATTGAGAGCAAAGAGATCCTTGGGGAAGGATTCTTTGAATGATAAGGGGAATTTCCTCCTCATCTGTTTATCTGGCTGCAGTGTCACCCTCCAGGGATTAAACTCATCCTCGTTTCAGGAATACCCCCGGCTACTGGCAGTGAATGCTCAGCTAATTCTTGCAGCAGCTTTGTCCTTTAGCTTTGCCTTCCTTGCTCTTCCTCTTCCTCACTCCTCACCCTTGCCCAGGTTTCTTTGTGCCTTTGTCAGCGATGTCCCAACCTCGCCACTGCCCTCGTTTGACTTTGGACAAGTCCTTCTGTCCCAAAGAGGCTCCTTGAGTGTCCTGCTAGCCCAGATGTGGCTCCTTGAGTGTCCTGCTAGCCCAGATCTGGCTCCAGCTCAGCCCATGACCGCGGGATCACTGTTTTGCTTTTATTCTTCCTCTGCCTGAGTGGAAACTCTGCCTTCTTTTCCCACTCCAGCCAACATCCCCTTCTTTCCCATGGCCTTTCCTCTTGTGGTCCACAGCCCTCACGTTCCCTACTCTTCCTCTGCTGTCCCTCACTGACTGGCACTGAGCAGAGGCCACCAGACAACTCAGATCCCACTTCCCACCATTCCCATGGTCATTCCAAAAGCCTCAGACTTTGCACCTGGCTCTCTTTGACTCCATATCCAGACTTTTTGAATTTGCTTCCTATCATGGTCATTCCCATCTCCAGAAGCTCCATTTGTCCTGCGTGGCTCTTGCTTTGTCCTGACCTTTCAGGCACAAATTTATTTTTTCCAAGTCTGGGACCCTCCTTTAAATAGTCCCTGTCCAAAGTGTTTGGTTTCATTCTCCTTTCTCATGCAAAATTCTATTATATGGAACGTAATATGGGATATTTCACCTCCACCCCACTGGGAACCACCCTTTCCTCACAGAAACACTCAGTCCCCAAACTGGATTTTCCAGACACAGAGCTGACTTTAATCCTTAATAAATGCAGCATCTTTAATCCAAGGCCATTCCCAGGAAAACTTCCTGAATCAGTGCAGGAAACAATGGAGCTGGTTACGTGCCCAAATCTTGTTTCATCCCAACCTCCCACAGCTCCTAATTTCAGACTCCAGTTGCCCTGGGAGCCTCCTTGGCAGGAGGAGGGGTGCAGGAAACAATGGAGCTTGTTTCATCCCAACCTCCCACAGCTCCTAATTTCAGACTCCAGTTGCCCTGGGAGCCTCCTTGGCAGGAGGAGGGGGAAGAACCACACAAGGATGAATTTTTCAACCTCTCTCTGTGCTCCAGAGATTTCTGACTCACCAATTAATCCAGAACTCTGGGATTGGCTCCTAAACTGGCACACCCTGAAGTCAGGGAGAACAATTTTGGTCAAGCAACAGAAAAACACTTTAATTTTCTTTCTTGAGGTATCTGTTGCAACAAGGGCTGAGAGGGGAAGGGAATTTTATTTCTTCCACATGCAAACCTTGAGTTAATCCAGGCTGCCTTTGGATATCTCCACACTCACCAGGACCTCTGCTCTACCTGAAGATAAACATTCCTCAAGGAATTTGCTGTCTCATTCCTTGATCTTTTAAAAAAATGGGAGCAAAGCTGCAGGAAAAGGTCCTTTTATTTGCCTTAACATCCTGAGCTTGAGCACAATTCCAAGTATCAAGCCTGTGAAATCCATCAATAGGAACATTTCCCTCCTCAAATTAAGTGGGAGCCAAAAAGATCTGTTAGTCCAGGACCAGAATGGCCAGGAATTTGCAGATCAAATCCTACAGGGAAAAATTCAGTTTACAAAGAGGTAAAAGCCCCCTGAGCTGAGGAAATCAACCATTCCCCTAAAACAGAGGGATATTCCAGGCTGCACCTTCTGTTCCCTGCCTGACCCAGAGCACGAGGTGTGGTCCTTGGCAGAGTCCAGCCAGGAAAATTGAGGTGCAGCTTCCCAGTGCTCTCCCAAAAAATCCCCCAGACAATTATCAGAATGAGAAGGGACTCTGTGTCTCCATCCCAAACCTGGGATCAGCTGGGAATCATGGAATTATTAAAGCTGGGAAAGACCTCCAAGACCATCGAGTCCAGATTCAGCACTAAACCCTGGCTCTGAGGACCATGGATTTTTCTGAACACTCCCATGGATGTGATCCCACTCCTTCCCTGGGCAGCCTGGATGCTCGACCGCCATTTCCATTATGGAATTTTTTCCTAATAGATCAGACTCCACGATCTTAGAGGTCTTTTCCAGCCTTAGGGATTCTGTGATCAGCAAAGTTGCCACCTGGAAGCCACAAGGAATTGCACCTTCTTGTGGCTCAACCACCTCTGTCCATTTAGGAAATGATGGATTGAGGTGCAACCAATTAAAAAAACACCCAGAAAAACCACAAAACCAAACCAGGCTTTAATGTCAAATCCAGAGATGTACTGCACATATTGCCCTGGATATCCCTCATGGATATCCCTATCCCCATGGAGCTCTCAGCTGCCACTGAGCCATCCCAGGGGCTGGGCTGGGTCTGCAGGAATCATCTGAGGTGGCAATCTCACCCCCCACTCCTCATCACCCCTCCAACTTCAGGTGGGGTTAAACCCCCTGTCCCCCTTCTCCTGGAATAACTCCTCCCTGACCCTTCAGCTTCACCATCCACACTGCAAAATCCTGGAATGCCAAAGCCATGCCCCAGTTTCGGGGACGGTTCCCCAATCCTTTCGGGACTCACCACTTTCCGTGCACAGGGCGACGCCGAGCACGACCAGGAGGAAAAGCTTCATCCTTTAGAGGTCTGGGAGCCTCCAAAATGAGCAGGACTCGTGCAGGGCAGGTTTTATACCTCTGCAGTGCTTGCTTTGATCCAGAGATAATACCCAGAGGCTGCTGTGTCAGATGATGGATAATTGGGAGCAGCGTGTCCGGGCTTGTATGGAGAAGGGCGTTTATTTGGAAATCAGGAGGGGGGTGTGTTTTTTGCCACAACTTCTTTTCCTGGTCGTTTCACAACGCAGCTGCTCCAGCTGACGTGAACTCTGCAACTGTTTCTAATTTTGGAGAAGTGGGGGAAAAGCAAAACATGAAAACAAAGCAATTTTCCCTGCCAAAAGAATAAGGTTTTCTTTTCCAGGTTTCAGAGTGGGCTGCATCTTCCAAGATCGTGTCCTTGCACTTATGGAAATGGAGGGAATTTAAATTTAAAATTGAATTTGGGATGGAAACTTCTCCCACATGTCTCCCAGGATTGTAAAGACAGTGAGATCAGAAGAGCAGAATCTTTCCACTGTTTTTCATAGGGGACCAGGCATCATTTTCTGTCTCCTTTTTAAGTTCAAAATCATCCAGATTTTGAAGAAATATTTCTGGGATAATTTTTGTGAGGAGAAAATGTTATCTTATTAAAAAATAGATTCCACAGAGCAAAGAAAAATGACCATTTAAGTTAAAAAATAGAAATAACACCCACTCCCATGGCACAGAACAAGCTGGGAATTTTTTCACAAATTCATTTAAAAAAAAATGTCAGGGAAAAAAACACAAACCAATTAAAGCATGAAGAAGGAGGGGCTGGATGATCAATGATCTCAACTCATTAAGTCTTCAGAAAAAAAAATTTGTGAAATGCCAAACAGGATTATTCCATTGGATTCCCAGATTGTGCTCTTTACCCCTCCTTTTTTGGTTTTATTTCCTTTAAACCACGTTTCATCCAATTTCCATTAATAAAATCAGAACCATTCCCACCTTCTAGGGCATTGTTGTTGTTTTTCCCTCCCACTGTTGCCTTTCTGCCATCGAGTCGCAGAACAGAGGCACAATCCCAGGAAAGGTCGAGCTGGATCCTCTCACGTGACCCTCGGAACTGCAGGAGCTGCCCCAAATCCTCTGCCAGCACCCTCGCTGCTCTCCATCTGCTTTATCCCCTTTTTCCTTCTCTCCAACTCGCCCAGATTCCCATCTCCCATGGAATATTTTGGGCTTCTGATGTGTCCCACCTCCAGCCCTCCTCTCACCGGGAAAACAGGCCGGGCTCCTGAGGTGATGTCAGTTTTTCCAAAACCTCCAAGCTGGACTTATAAACACTGTCCCTCTGCAGCCCTGCATGAGTAAGGGAATTTTGGCCTTCCCAATAGGCAGAGCACGAAACTAATTTGGAGCAGAGGTGGCAATTAGCCAGAAAAGCTCCAAGGAAGGGCGAGGTTTGGCTCCATCAGCCTCCTCATGGCACCCAGCAGGAGGAAAACAAAGCTCCCTCCATGCCAGTGCAAAATATTGCAAAATATTTTATTTTCCCCAAGCCAGAGTAGATTTAATGAGTTTTTAGTGGTAAATCCATGTTTATTGGGGCCTATCTGGGGGGTTCCAATCCCAAGGAGATGCTGCTCCATTCCAGAGCCAGCCCACGCTGGGATTTATCTCCAGCAGCATCCCCTGACAGGTTCAGAAATAGCAGCTCAGGCACGGCTTTTTTTTTTTCCCCTTCCCTCAAAATCTCATCCATGCCAAACCCTAAAATATCTCCTGTCTCCTGCAAGCTGCTGAGATTTGGAGGGACAGAATGGATTTCTTCAAGGCTTTATTGCAGGATTCCTGACAGATTTTCCACGAGATGCTCCTGAAATCTTCCAGCTGGTCCATATGGCCCTCTGATATTTTGTCCCTACCAGGGCCAGGTGACAGAAGGAAAGGAGACCATGAGGGCAGGAAAGACACAGATGACATGAGAAGAACTGAGGCAAAGGAGAAGTTAAAATCCCAGTTTACAAGTGCTTGGAATTCATGAAATTCAGGATGATTTTGTAAAGAGTAACAGGGGATTTAACTGGAGGTGAAAGTGGAAAGTGAGGTGGAAAAATTTATTTCCCTTGACACGGTGGAGTGGAGAAAGAAAGGAGGAAAATGTTTTGTTTATCTTGTTCTAAACCTGGTTGAAATCATCACATGAGAAGGGCAAACAATTGTTTATTTTGGGGGGAAAATGCAATTTTCATCAAACAAGTGCTGAAATGCAAAAGTATCTGTGAAATTCAGCTGTTGTTACTAAATGTGGAACTTCAAGTTGGTCGAAAGCTTTGAGAAGCATCTCAGAAACTATTGTGATTAACATAAAGTGATTTTATGTTAAAAGTGATTTTTAAAAGTGCAAAGCCCCAAGTTTCTGGGGAAATATTCCCCTCAGAAATTCTGCAACTTCAGTTACTCCACTTCAGTTATCCCATTGAAATAAATTCCAAAACACCCTTCCTGACCAGAAATTAAATCTTTATGGGATGACTAAACCTAATCCCATTTTTACAACCTTCTCCCAGCACTGCGGTTTCTCCCCGTTGCACGGAAACACATGGAATTTGCAGTGCTGGTGGGGTAGGATTCCCTTCAAATCCAGCACGGGATTGTTCTCAAATCCAGCACAGTCTTGCCCTCAAATCCAGGTCAACATTCCCCTCAAATCCAGTACAGGATTCCTCTCAAATCCAGCACAAGATTCTGCTCAAATCCAGCTCAAGATTCCCCTCAAATCCAGTGCAGGATTCCTCTCAAATCCAGCTTAAGATTCCCCTCAAATCCAGTGCAGGATTCCTCTCAAATCTGGAGTAAGATTCCCCTCAAATCCAGCACCAGATTCCCCTCAAATAAAACAGGACTGGAGGCTTTTTTTCCAGGTGCCACTATAAAGACCCTCCCAAAATTCAGTGCTGCACTTTTCCACACTCTCCCGCTCCAAGATTATTTTATTCGCCCATTTTAGCTGTAGTTCTGCTCCTCCAAGAGCTGAAGGGGATCTCCATCCCATCTCCACCATCCCCAAGGCTGGAAATGCAGCAGAAACCCTGGAAAGGGACGGAGCAGAGACCTCCCCAATCAGCTCAGACACCATCACCTCTTCCAGACTCTTCCTGCCCATTTCCCACAGGAAAATCAGGAGCAAACACTCAGCAGCTTCTTCAAGCAGGCACAGGGGTCTCCTTTCCATGGGAACAGATTCCAGCAGCGTTTTCCTTACCTTGGGCATCTCCAGCATCTTGGGATGGGACCTTTATCTGTTTCAAAAGCTGGAGCAACTCACCTTGCAGAGATCCCAGGAGAACTTCCCAGTGCAAATTCCTGCAGGACCAAATTCCTGGTCCTGTCTCAGCATCTACAAAACAATTCCTGCTGTTGTTTGCAATGGGAACAACACAAACATTTCTGACCTTTCCTTATCTCAGAGGGATCTGGGAGACCATCTGGCTCTGTGGAGTGTCTGGAGCTGCTGGATGGAAGAAAGTTAGGAAAGGCAGCCTGGAGAAGGCTCCCAAGTGGAATTCAATGTGAAGCAGAGCTGATTTCTCAGGCTGGTCCTGGTGCGGATACAACAAACACACTCTAGAATAACACAAATCTTTATTTTGTCTGACAATTATCACACACTTGCTATCAAAAGAGCTTTTCCAGGGAAAAATTAGTATAAAACAACAGTGGGGAAGAATAGGTGTCATGTTGGGATCTGAAGCAATGTCTTGGAATACAACAGGGTCGCTGCTGGAAACACTCGCCTGAGGTTCCTCTCTTGGGGAATTCCTTGTGGCTTCTCGGGTGGTCACAATCCTCTGCCAGCCCCGATCACAATCCCACCCTGAGCACACAGATCAAACTTCCCACGATTCCCAGCAGGACCACGGCGTAGTTGATCCGGATGCTGTTGGCGCCGCTGAAGTTGCAGAGGGAGGTGCTGCAGCACTTGGTGGAATAAGCGGCCATCCCAAAATTCACGTTGGTCTCGGGACAGTCCACAGAGCATTTCTTGGTGATGCGGTGTCCCACCTCCTTGCCTGGGTGGAGAAGGGGTAGGAAAGGAGAGCTGGGATTTAGGATTCTGTTGGAAGAGCTGACCAGAGGAGAGGGGTTTGCAGTTTCCTTGATTTTTCACACAGCAATAAAAGCTTTCAGGGGGTTTGACAAGACTGGGTGTGAATCCACAAGTCCTGGATCAAATGTTTGGGAAGTCCTTGATTGAAACCCACACTGGCCTAAATCTCTGATCTGATTGCCCAGGTGGTGGCAAATCAAAGGTTGGCCTCAAGACCTTAGAGGTCTTTCCCAACCTAAATGATTCTGTGGTTCCTTTAGGACAGCAATTCCATTACATTCCCAATGCATTTTTTCAATGCATTCCAATTCCACTGCATTTTTTAAAACCATGTTATTGGCACCCAACCCTTTTCTATTCTCCATCCCAAAACATCTCAGATCAAACAACAGAGGCTGCTCCTGAAATTTGGGTGTTCCAGCCAGCCCTTCCACAAGGGGCTGGCACAGGTTTTCCAGAGAAACTGTGGCTGTCCCATCCCTGGAAGTGTCAAAAGCCAGCTTGGAGCAACCTGGTCTAGTGGGAGATATCCCTGGAATTAGATGATCCTGAAGGTCCCTTCTACCTCAAAGGACTCACACTCATCACATTGAGACACTTCAACCTCAAAATCATCACTTCTTTCCAACAAAACCATCAATTTCCATCAATTCCCTTTTAAAAAGTTGCCCACCAATGTCTCTAGAAGAAAAAAAAAAATCCCATTTTCTGGGACTCACCGAATCCGGCAGTGCTGTACGTGGTCGTGCAGAATTTCTCATGGTCCTCACATTTGTAGGTTTTCATGCAGTTCCAGTTGGAATGTTCATTGTCACAGATGTAGCAAAACAGGGAGGAAGCTGGGAAAAAACACCCACAACACAGATTAGTTATTCCCAGCAATTCCCTCCTGGGGAAAAAAAAAAAGTGCCAAAAGCCTTGGAAAATACAAGGGGGAAAGTCTGGTGTGAACAACTTGTCCTAGCAAGTGAAATAAGTTTGGGTTTGATTAATGGAGCTGAGAAAACAAATGTAGAGGGCAAACCAAGTTTTCTGTCTGGACTACAGATTTTAAGGGGTTAAATTTACATTTTTCAGCCTGAGCAGCAATTTTAGGTGATTTTTTTCTTCTCCCAAGGATCCATGTTGGCCTTGTTGAAAACCAACCTCCAAAAGTAAAGTCCTGGCAAGGAGAGGAGGAACTGACTCAATTCTAAAGGTAAATTTTAAATACTTTCACCCCACATCTGCAAAACCCTGCCCAGACATGAATTAATTATTGTCTAGTGACACCCCTGGGAGCCAAATTACTGAGGCACCAGAGTAAAGGGAGTTCCCTGGGAGAGGCTGCCCTGGACAATGGATGGATTATTCCTATCAGCACCTGGAACAGGGTGTTCTCCATGATATTTTATGATATTTTGACGAGCCAGGTTTATCCCAGAGACAGAAAAAAAAGTGGGATATTATTTGGCACAGCTGAAGTAAATTGAATAAAACTTCCAGACTGGCTATTAGAACACAGATGTGCCTTCTCGTTCCCCAGAGGTGGATTCACAATTGGTGGAAATTGTTTCCCTCCTGCCCAAAGTTCCAAGAAATGCTCCTCATTTTGGGGCAGGGCTGACAGAGGCAGCTGAGCTGCTCCCAGGAAATCCTGCTCCATTGTCACCAGCGGTGAAGAGCTCTCGGTTGAAGGTGAACAAAAACTACAAACCAGTGAGGGGTCTCCATGAGTCTGAGATTTCCCTGGTTCTGTTTTTCCTGACTTTCTCAGCCCAGGAAGGCTTTTTTTTTTTTTTAATTTTATTTTTCACAGAACACCCCTTCCAATCAAACTTAGATTTTTTTTGGTTTTTTTGTGGTTTTTTTTTTTTTTTTGCAAGAAAACCTCTCCCAGTGGCCCTTCAAAGTTTGTTCTCAATTCAAGCTCTCATCTGAGGTTGATTCTGCCCATGGCACTTGGTTAAACAATTCCAGAAGCAGTTTTAAAAGAGAACTGAAAGCCCTTTTGGTCTCTAACTATCCAAGGAGGAGGAAAAAAGGCCTCCCCTCTGTGATCTGAGGAGCTCTGGGTGTCTCAGCACTGGCTTGCTCTGAAACCTTCCCAGATGCTTCAAGGAAAGTTGGACAGGGTTTGGAACAACCCGGGATAGTGGAAGGTGTCCCTGCCCATGGCAGGGGGTGGAACAGGATGATCTTTAAGGTCCTTTCCAATCCAAACCCTTTTATCACTTTCTGATTCTCTGCTCTTTTCCAGTGTCAGGTGTTGCAAGCTCGGGGTTCTCTGTAGCAGGAGTAAAATCAGCCTTGTTGCAAACTGCATTTAATTTCTCCTCTTCATCTCTCACTGTTTCTTCATCACTTGACAATTTTCAGCCTCCCACCTCTCCTCTGGAGGTTTCCCAGCTCGAGCTGGGGGCTCCTGAACCTCTGCGGGCAAAGCAAAACCCAGACCTGGCGAGGATTATTGCAATTTACAGACCCTGGAGCTCTCCCTGATCTGCTTTCCTGCCAGATTTCCCCAACCACTTCCTGCTGCAGATGGAGCCGAGTCCTCAGCACGTGCCTGACAGCAACTGAAAGCGCTGATGCTCCCTAAGTGATCCAAGGAAAATCCCTTCCAGCCAGGAAACAATAACAGCTCGAGCCATTAGAGCTGCTCTAAAGCTTTTCCTGCGTCTGCCCTCCACCCTCCATTAGCTGGAGTTTTGCAAATGCAGCCAGAAACAACCTGAACGGTGCAAATTGTGCTCCTCGGGCTGGCAAATCCGTGCCCAGAGCCAAGATTTCCCAACTGGATATTCCCCCGCAATTATCCAGGTATGCCTGTGCCTCCTTTTAAAGAGGACAAGAGCAGAGCGTTGTGCATCCCATTCCAAACGCAACTCCCAGGCACTTAACAGCCCTTGCAATTTAGGAGCAAAGAGCTCTGAGGCTTTCAAATACCTGCCAGCAGCCTCATTACCTAATTGGAGTTGCGGGGAATAAAGTGAAATGCTGGCAGGAGATGTGGTGCCAAGACCAGCCACGCTTTCGTCCGCAACAGCTCCTCGAGTTTCATTCAGGAACAAAAATCAAACCAAAGGCAAAAACTCTGAGCCCTGCCTGAGTCCTGTCAGCATTTTTCAGGTCGTGTCTTCAGCTGTGAGTGGTTGGAGCTGGATATCTGAGGGTGTGAGAAACCAGAATTCATCTCCTCCAGGTCACAGAGAACCCACCCAGGAGCGAGGACTCAACCACACCAAATATTTCTGGCCGTGGCTGACATCAAAAGTACCCTGCCAAGACCTCAGCAGCTGCAACAAAAGCTTCCAAACCCTTTTGTCCCTATTTATCTCCTTGTTTTTCCTCTCCTCTGGCTCTCCCATTCTCCTTACCTTGCTGGGCACACAGGACTGCAGCCAGCAGGGCCACCAGAAAAGCCTTCATGGTTGGTCCTCGCGCCCTCGGAGCTGGAGCAGTGTGGGAAGATGCACCCCGGGAAGGTTTTATACCAGCCTTGCCTCATCCCTGGCTTCCTTTGATTGCAGTAATTTGAGGTTTGGGCAGTGACAGCACCCAAGATGTGATCAGTGTTGGGTGTGTTTGTGCGTAGGGACCTATTATGAGGCTGCAGATAGCAATGTTTTTTCACCTGTCTTTCTCATCCAATCTTTTTTTCCGAGGCCTGCTCGTGTCTGCATTGCTAATTTGGGGAGTAATTGTGCTGATCCAAACACGGCAGTCCCTTTTTGGGCTGAGCCACAAAACCTGGAGTGAGTCAGGGCATGGCTGGGGTGACACCTTGCTTGCTGGCACCCTCCATCCTTTCTCTCTGCCATGGAATGGGAGCTTAATATCTCTGGGAAGTGGGAGAGGAGGCAAGGAAAGATTTTTTGATTGTCCAGAGCCTTTCAGAATTATTTCCCTTGTACATAATGCTTTAAGCAGGAAGCAGCAGCATTCCTTCTATCATGGAATTATAGAAAGATTTGGGCTGAAAGGGACCTTAAAGATCCTTTTGTTCCACCCCTGATCCCACTATTTCTGCCTGGAGATGTCACTCAGAGGCTCCAACAGTGCAGGCAGGGATGGGGGTTTGATGCTTTTGTTTTGTTCTTCTCTCCTCCAGAGCCATCCAGGGTTTCCAGGTGATAATGTTTGTTGCTCCCTGGAGACCAGCTCCGGACTCTGTCAGGTTTTTCCAGTCCCCCATGACCTTTCCAGTCTTTCTGGGCTCCCTCCTTCTGCTCCCACACCACCTCTTGACTCAGGGTGCAGAGGAGCCAAATGACTCAGGGTGCAGGAGAGGCACAAAGTGCATGGAGGCACCTGCAGGAGTGAAAAATCTACAAATGGGAGTGAAAATGACTGAGAAATAAAAGAAATCCTGGCCAAAAAGTTTTGGCAGGACCCTTTGGAGAGAGAAATTACCAAGGGGAGCTCAGGGTCAAGGCTTGTAAGGTCACAAATGGCGTGGAAACAGAAGAAATAACATCCAGGTGCTCTTTGTTTTCCCCAAATTAATCACAGAATCACGGGATGCCTTGGGTTGGGAGGGACCTGAAAGGATCAGCGAGGCCAACTCCTGCCCTGCTCCGGCAAAATCCGGGGAAGCTGGACCCAATCCCAACCCCTGTTAGGAGTTTTTTTGCTTTTAATCATTTTTTCTTTGCCCAGTTCCTCCTTTTTTGCAGCAGCAGCTTCAACCCTCAGTGACTCTGTCTCGGCGTCCAGAGGGTGGAGGGGATGAGCCCCCAGTTTTCCAAGTTTTCCTTTCTCTTCTCTGGTCTGACCTTGAGCAGGAATCTTGAACTATTTCATCTTTTAGTGAGGATGTGAAAGGCCCACGTGACAGATAATGCAGCAACAATATTTCAGAAATAATCTGGGGAAAAAAACATTCTTTCTGAGCAAGATTCTTTATAAATACAGGCATGAAAAACATCAGGCAGGAAACAGGATCTGCTGGAGCAGGGAGGGAAGAAAACAGGTATTAATCCACATGTTTGTTTAACGTATAACACCAGGGTTGTCTCACTCAGCTGGAAAAATGGAAAATGAGACTTCCTTCCCTTTCATCCCATCAAAAATCCCGAAATGAAAATGAATTATCACCCCCAAATCTAGCTCATCTCAGAGCCAATCGAGCAGAAAAATGCAACTTCTCAGCAGGAAGAGGGAACAAGCCTTGAACACAGCCCACAACAAGAAAGAAGAAAAGCTTTGGAATTAAAACAAATAAATGAGCAGTAAATAAATGAGGCTGTTAAAACAAAGTGCAGCTGAATAGAAAAAATGTCAAGTGAGAAATGGGCTGTGGGAAGTGGGAATGTGAGAAAGCTTTTAAATAGATTGGAGAGAGGAGAGGTTAATAATAATAATAATAATAAACAAGATTAATATTTCAGACAGAAGTGGAAAGAGAGAAGCAGGGAGCAGAGAAATATTGGTGCGAAGCAAAATAATTCAAGGCAAACACACAAAGCTTGGGGGGAAATAATTAAGGACAGGCAGAGTGAGGGAAAGGAATAAGATGGGATGGGAGTGAAGTCCCTCCTGTGTGGAAAATGTACATTTTCTTATGTGCAGACCCTAATCAGGTGCTAAAAACAGCCCTAGGAAGCTGCAGGATTCCCCAAACCCCAGTTTAACCAAGCACTGGGGGCTCCTGTGCGACCTGGATGGGGAAAGCATCCAGGGCATCACCTGACCCCTATCCCTGTGTCCCCGGGGGAGGCTGCCAAGGCTTTGGGAGGCATCCCAGGCTCTGGCCAGGTCCCAAATCCCTGCTATTCTTGGGCCCTCTTGGCATTGCAGTCACGCCCAGGGCCACTGCAAGGGCTCTGGGCTCCAACCAGCACCATCACACCGGAGGGAACGGTGCCTTTGGAAGCAAAATCCAGTTTTTTCCCAAGCAAGGGGTGAAGAGAGCTGGAAGAAAATCCAGGGCAAAGACAACTGAGGGAGTGGGAGTGTAAATGGTGCCAGGAGAACACGGCAGGGAGGTGTTAAAACCATTTCCCAGGGACATGAAAAAAGCAGGGTGAGGGGAGGGCAGCAGGGTGAGGCTTGCAGCAGAAACTGGGCCAGGTGGGTGTCACTTGCTGGGTGTCACCCAGTGGGTGTCACAAGGGCAATTAAACAGTTAACAGCGCCTGGAAGTTTGAGGAAAAAGAAACCTTCACCCACTTGGGGCTTGGCAACCACAGAGGGTGTTTGTGCCAGACTTTGGGAATGCCTTGTGCAAGGCCGGGCCTTTTTGTGTAACTGGAGCCAGACAAAGCATGGTTTCAGCCCGGGATGGAGGGATGGGATGGAGCCAGACCCAGGGATGTTTCAGTGTCAACACATCCCCCCTTTTTTCTCTCTGGAGGGTGGCTCCAATCTCAGCTCCCCTCAATGGTGCAGGGAGGAATCTCTGTTTCAGCTCAGGCTTGTGAAGTGCAGCTGAGAGGGAAGGAGAAGGCCATGGATAAGTGGGAGGGTGGAGGACATGGATGGTGCTCCCCGTGTCCCTGAGTCATGCAGATGGTGCAAGAGGTCCAGCCTGACTCCAGACAACACCAGGCTGGTCTGGTTGTGTCCTCTCCTCCTTCCTTGGGGGGTCAGGGAAGGCTGGGTTGCTTCATCTGGACCCGCAGTGGCAACAGGGTTGGTGAAGAAGCAAAAGTGGGAGATTGTGGGGTCCAGAAATACACGGGAAAAAAAGGAAAAGCCGAGTTTGACATTTTGCCTTTTCCACTCAGGCCTCTTGCAGGCAGCCTGCTCTATTCCTCCCCTTCCCAAAGCACATCTGGCACAGCTGTTCTGGCAGGCTCCAAACAGCAGGACGCAGCTCCTCAGGTCATTCCCATGGCAGATTGTGGGAAATAGATTTGTAGAGAATTTTTAGGGTTTAATAGAAGGCTTACACAGTATGTATTCATATGTAAACTTTAAAATAAGAAACGTTTTGTAAATAAGAATGGTTTTGTAAATAAGACTAGATATTTTAGAGAAATATAACTATGAAAGACATATTGTAGTAAGATTTATGAGAAGTAGTTTTAGATGATTGACAGCAGATGACAGAAGCTACCAAATTTACAGCTGGGATGGACAGGAGTAGCCCAGATCCACCATGTGTGGGTGAAATACCAGGTGATCAAGGTTGGCTTCAAGGCCAGGTTGGAGGGAGCTTGGAGCACCACGAGGCAGTGGGAGACATCCCTACCCACAGCCGGAGTTGGAATGAGATGGTCTTTAAGATTCCTTCCAAACCAAACCATGATTCTGTGACATCCAACTCAGCAGCTGTGATCTGCACCAGGAGCCTCCTTGTTGATCTCAACACTTGAGGAACTTGAGTCCTTTGGTGCTGGAACCCTGGTTCCCGCTGAGAATTTTAGACTTTCTGTGCTGACAGGCACTGACCCATGAGAGAAAGCTGCATTTGACCTGAGGCCATGGACAAGGCTTCCAAAATTGAATGATAGAACTGGGATTATGGGTGTGGAGTTTGAAAAGGAGTCTGTAATATCACAGGGTGGAAAACTTAGAGTTTAAGATTTTAGAATATAATAATATATATGAAGCAAGAAGAAGGACCAGCCTCCACTCTAAAACCTCCATCTTGCTTTATATATATTACTATATTCTAAAAACTTAAACCTGTGATATTACACACTTGTACTCAAACTCCACACCCATAATCCCAGTTCTATCATTCAATTTTGGAAGCCTTCTCCACGCCCTCAGGTCAAATGCAGCGTTCTCCCATGGGTCAGTGCCTGTCAGCACAGAAAGTCTGAAATTCTCAGCAGGAATCAGAGTTCCAACACTTTGGGCCTGCAGCCAACAGGGAATTGAAGCCATTCCATCACATTCCCTCAGCCTCCAAGATCCTAAGGGATATTTCAGCCCCATCAGCTTGGAGCGACATCAAACAGCACCATCACGCTCAGAGTCACCCTCCATGACTCACACCCCCAGCAAAATCCTGATGGAAAGGCCAGATCCAGATTCTGTCATCAAGCAGAGCACCGGCCCAGCACCACCCAAGCCATCGGGCCACCAGCATCGGGCACACCCCAGCCTGGATGGTCCCCTGGCATGGGGCTGCTGCTTGGAAGCCACTTGGATGTAACCACCCTGTTTGTGGAGTTATGGATGTGAATCATCCTCCTTGGAGCAAGGTTTGTTGTTCGATGGTGGCATCTCCACAGCCAGGAATGGGAATTTTGGAGACCTGAGGAGTCTGAGAGGAAAAAAGCAGTGAAGAGGTTGGTTGGAAAAAGGAGCAAAAGAAGAAAAGAGGGGAAAGGAAACACAGCATCCTCTTGGAATTCCCTAAAAATAATTCATTCCAGTCCCCCTCAAGGAGGGGACCACTGAGTGCAACTGTATTTGGGAAGAAATAACCCCTCTCCCTGACAAATCCCACATCTGCCATTGTTTTTTTCACTGAAAGTGGGAATTTCCCCTTGACCAAGTCCAACCCTCCTGATCCTGTTTCATAACACG